ATGTTGGCAAGGATGTGGAGGAATTGGAACCCTCACACATTGCTGGTGGAAACAAAATGGAACAGCTGCCCTAGAAAAACAGTCTGGCAGTTCTTCCAAAGGTTAAGTATACAGTCACTGTACGATGAAACAATTCCACTCCTAGATATATACCAAGAGAAATGAAAACATATGTCCACACAAAAACTTGCACATGAATGTTCACAGCAGCACTTTTCATAACAGCCAAAAAGGAGAAATGAACCAAATGCCCATCAACTGATGAATGAATAAACAAAATGTGGTATATCCATACAATGAAATATTATTCAGCCATAAAAGGAATGAAATACTGATACAACCCTGAAAATATTATGCTAAGTGAAAAAAGACAATTGCAAAAGACTACATATTACACAATTCCATTTTTTTTAGGCAAATGCACATACAGACAGAAAGTAGGTTAGTGGTTGCCTAAGTCAGGGCACAGAGGAAGGGAAGGGAATAGGAGGCAATGGCTAAGGGGTGTGAGTTTCTTTACAGGGTGATGAAAACATCCTAAAATTGTGGAGATGAATGCACAACTCTGAATATTCTAAAAACCACTGAACTGTACACTTTAAATAAGCAAATTGGATGATGTGTGAATTACATCTCAATAAAGCTATTATTAACAAAGCAAAGCAAGTTTTTGTCACTTCATGAGAGTGACCAAGTTTGAAGAGGTGTAGAGTAGAACAAAAGGGCACTGAGATGTGATGTCGGGGGCTGGTTAGGCTCAGTCACCAGCTCAGTGGCTCCTGAAACTTCACTAGTAAAATTACAACTCTGGAGGGCAGTCATACTGAGTCAAATTATGAATGTTAAATCCATTGCAAATGCCAATAATCTACTTTATGTGCCTTCTCATGAAAAAAATAAAAAGCCAAAGTACCTAAACAGCAAGTGGTCTGAGATGATAGCAGCTGTTTATAAAAGACTATTTTTAATGGCATCTTTGATAATGACTCCCAGAATGATCCATGCTAAAGAAGCTCTAATTTCACATTTGCTCAAGCATTGATTTGATTTAGCCCATACGACTCCAATCTTGGATAAAGCGTACAAACCACATAATTTTATTTCCTCCTTTATCAAAATTGATTAGGGGGAAAAATTAATTAATGAGGGAACCAATAAGATGTTATAAGCTATTCAAAGAATTCCCAAACCACATGTATACAAGACTATCAAGAATGATAGAGTAAATTTGATTAACAGATAAAAAAAAACATTAGACAGAGAACAACTGTGCAGGGGTCTCCTAATCCTTAGTAACACAAACCTGATCACATGGCTGGGGTATTACAAGGGCTGCATAGCCAAAGAGGGACTGGTCTGACTTGAGATTTCTTTAATAGCTTTCCATACTCAGGAGGATTGGGAAAGGCAGGATTAATTTTTAAAATCATTTAAGAATTCCACAAGAATAAAACTCAGCCTTGATCTCTATCTTTCCTCACACCCTACATCTAGTCTGTCAGGAAATCTTGTTGATGGTCTTCAAAATGTATTCCGGATCTGACTGTTCATATCACTACTACGACCCTGGTCAGAACCACTATGGTCTCCCACCCAGATGTTGCCATAGCTTGGTCTCCCTGCTTCTACCCAAATCTTCCAGGAGTCTCTTCTCAACTCAGAGCAGCCAGAGCATCACTCTGTATCAAGAGACAGATCACGTCACCTCACTGCTCAGAACCCTCTCCTGATTTCCATCTCAGGCAAAGTAAAACCAAAGTCCTGGCAATGACACCCAAGGGATCACATGACCTACATGGATCCCAACCTGTCAACTCTCTGGCCTCTTCCCCCACTTATCTCTCCCTCACTCTCTCTGCTCCACTGGCCTCCTTCCTGAGCCTCAGACACACCACACAGCTTCCTCTTAGGGCCTTCATTCTGTTCCTTCTACCTGAAATGCTCTTCCCCTAGGTAGACCCTTGGCCAGCTCCTTCACTTTCTTTGAGCCTTTGCTTAATTTTTACTTTAATGAGGCCAAACCTAACCACTCTATTTAATATTGCTGTTTGTGGCTATCCTCACTATTAATTTCCAATTGCTGCTGTAACAAATTATCATAAACTTAGTGGCTTGAAACAACACAAATTTATTATCTTATAGCTTTGGAGTAACAACCAAATCTGCTGTTTGGAGAGAGAACTTTGGGGGCAGCATGGATAATGGATTGGATGGGGAAACAAAGTAGAAGAAAGGAAGAAGGGAGAGAAACAGGAAGGGAACAGTTTCTACTTACAGTTGACCCTTAAACAACGCTGGGGTTGGAGCACATACCTGCCCAGTGGAAAATCCTCTAATAGCTTTATGGTCAGCCCTTGGCCCTCCATGGTTCCACATCTGGATTTAACCAACTGCTGATTGTGTAGTACTGTATGTATTTATTGAAAAAAGTTCACCTATAAGTGGACTTTCAGAATTCAAACCCATGTTACTGGAGGGTCAATTGTACTAAAATTTTAATAATTGTCATATACTGGACTCAACAATTCCAGTTGCCATAGTCCAGATGGTAACAGTGGAATTGAAGAGAAAGCATCCAGAGATTCTTAGAAGGTAGACTCAATAAGGTTTGTGAGGACTGGTTTGACATGGGTGGGGAGAGAGTTGGTGGTCTTGATGAGAAAAAAGGGATCAGTTTTGGGGTGCACAGAATGAGTCCAGCTGGGGAGCTCTTGTCCTGGAGATACATCGCATCTGCCTGGATAAAACTAGAAGGTGTCTGGGAAAGAGTGTGGTGCCGAAGAGATGGATTTGGAAGCAGATAGGGAGCAATGAACTTACATCTTGTAAAGGGAAAAATTATGACCCCAAATTTTAACCTTAAATATGTACAAACAAAAAAGTAGATATAATTGCCTTGTTCTTACAGCTCTTTGTACAAGTATAAAACTAAAGCAAAATTTAAAATTAAATATAATTGTGCCAGTATTGGAAATATAAAATATGTTTTAAAAAACAGTAAAATTCAAATGAACAGCATTAATTTAATATGATGGATGATGTTTTCTGAAAAGGAAATTCAAATTAAACCCAGGAGGTACCGTTTCCTACCTACTACAATGGCCAACATTTCAAACAATGACAAGGCCTACCACTTGTTGGCAAGGAAGTGGAGTGACTGAAACATTCACACATTGTTGGAAAATGTAAAATGGCAAAAACACTTTGGAAAATACGGCAGTTTCTCATAAAGCTAAATGTCACCTACCACACGACCCAGCAATTTCACTCCTAGCTCTTTTCTACAAGAGTGATGAAAATATATTCCAAAAAATATATATGTACAAAGCCTTTTTATTCATACCATCTTCATTCTTAATAGCTAAAAATAGGGAACAATTTAATGGCCGTCTATAGGTGAATGGATAAACCAAGCATGGTATCTTTACACAGCAGACGTGTACTCAACAATAAAAAACAAGAGAATACCAAAGCCTGATAGGGAAAGCCAGTTCCTGACTGTCAGGAATGACTTTTCTTTCTCCTTGGTGTGGTTACCAATGCAGTGTTCAAAGAAACCAATGAATTTGTCATAACCCAGGGCATACACATATAAGCTTTTTACATATTACTGCATGTAAATTTTACCTTAAAATATGTATAATATATAAACATTAATAAGAAATAGCATTTCAGAGAGTCTGAGTGGAGCTAATGAGCTGAACGTGTGATTGTCCTTTGACGACAAGTAGCACTGGCAGCATGGTTGACCAGCTGATGGGAATACAGCTTGCAGACTTCAAAGAAGCTTTCTACTCTTTGATAAGGACAGTGATGAACATCAAAAGATTGGAAACTGTGATGAGGTCTCTTGGGCAAAATTTCACAGAAGCAAAGTTTCAGAATAAATTAATGAAGCAAACGATGATGAAAATAGTACAATTAGCTTCCTGGACTTACTGACAATAACGGCAAGAAAAATGAAAGACACAGAGACAGAGAGTAAAGAGGAAATTAGAGAAACATTTCTTGTGTTTAATAAAGATGACACTGGCTATGTTCGTGCAACATAATTACATCACACGATTAAACACTTTGGAGAAAAGTTAACACACGAGGAGGTTGATGAAATGAGCAGAGAAGCAGATACAGGTAATAATAGTCAAGTAAACTCTGAAGAATTTGTATAAATGTCAACAACGTGAGAACATTGTACAGAGTATGTTAAAGTTCTTATACAAAATTATTTATTTGCCTTTTTTCTCCTTGTGAAAAGTGCTTCTTGCTGTCAAAAGAATATTCATGAAAAGTCATGAGGACGTGTTCCTTTACATTTTTCTTCCTTATCTCACTATCACTGTTCTATACCTTATTTTTAAAAGTGCATCAAGTAGCAAGTTGCACATGGCTTACTAAATTATTGGTTTTCAAATTTTGGGGGGTCAGCATCCCTTAACATTTTATTGAAGATTTCTAAGATCTCTAAGACTTTTTATTGATATGAATTACATATATTAAAATGTACTGTATTAGAAATTAAAACAGAATTTTTAAATATTTAATTTGTTCATTACAAAATAACATAACCATTATATGTTGACATAAATATTTAAAGACAATTATATCTTCCAAAACAAACAAAAAAAACTAGCAAAAAAAGTGGATGCATTTTACATTTTTGCATCTCTCTCTAATGTCTGGTTTAACAAGAGACTAGATTCTCATATCAGCATTCAATCTGTTGTATCACACTTCGTGTAGCCTCTGGAAAATTCTACTCTACACTAATGAGAGAATGAGAGGTAAATGATGTCTTTCATATTGTTGTTAAAATAGTTTTTACCTCATGGGTCCCCCATGCTCACATTTTGAAAACCACTGACCTAAGTCTTTCAACACATCTAAACTTCGATGGAGTTGGTCAAATAAAAGAACACCAAGGTTATGCCTGTTTTAAAAATAGTTTTCTTTAGGGACAGTCAGCCTGTTGCTGAAATGCAGAGTTTGAATTCTGCCTGAACTATGCAGAATCTATAATATATACCTAAAGGTGTACTACTGCAAAATGAGTTTATTATCCAAGTATCATGCATCATTATTTTGTACTACTTGTCTTCCACTGTTACTTGCTTTTAAAAGCTTTGTTTTGTTCTTAGAGAAAATCTGCTTGTGGTACTATTTACCTCAAACAGGATATACATTTGATTTCTAATTTAAAAATTACAATTAGTTTTATAAGAAACTGCCATACTAACTACCAAAATAACTACCATTTTATATTCCCACCAGAAATGAATGAGAGTTCCTGTTGCTCCACATCCTTACCAACATTTGGTGTTGTCAGTGTTTTGAAATTCAGCCATTCTAGTAGGCATGTGGTGATATCTTATTGTGATTTAATTTGCAACTCCCTAATGACATGTGATGTTGAGCATATTTTCATATGCATATTTGCCATCTGTGTACCTTCTTTGGTGAGGTGTCTGTTCAGCTCTTTTGCCCACTTTTAATCAGGTTGTTAGTTTTCTTATTGATGAGCTTAAAAGAGTTATTTAAATTTTTTCAATACCAGTCCTTTATCAAATATGTGTTTTGCAAAGATTTTCTCCAAGTTTGTGGCACTGTCTTTCATAGTGCATAATGTGGGGCCAACTGGCATTCTTCAAAGACCAGTGACCCCCATTCCTGGGCTCTCAGATGTCTGCCTGAGATCTCTTAACAGATAAAGTACATTCTTTACTGGGCATATTTGCCCTAACAAACTAATAGCCCTAGGTAATAGCCTAATCTCACAATAGCTCAGGCTGGCTAGTTTCAGCCCACGTTATCAGAGTCATAAACCCAACCGCCTTCACAGAGCCTAACCTTCTTATTTCACCTACAACCAGAGAGTAGTGCACAAGCCAATCAGGCATCTTGTGACCCTACCTTATAAAGACTCCAACAACCGACCCTCAGCGCTCACACAGGTACCTCTCATCTGTGTGATCTGCTGTTGTCTACAGCAGCGCCCTAATAAACTCCTTTTCTATTCTTCTCCTTTGCCTTTGGTAAATTCTTTTACTACCCCCAACACCGACCCGCCTTGTTCCCCAACACATAAGTTTTTAATTTTAATGAAGTCCAATTTATCAATTTTTTCTTTCATGAATCATGTTTTTGGTGTTGCAATTAAAAAGTCATGGTCAAGTCCAAGGTCACCTATGTTTTTTCACCTATGGTATTTTCTAGGAAGATTTTACAGTTTTGCCAGAGGTTGGGGGGGGAGTAAAAGAAGGACAAATTGGTGGAATAGAGGGAATTTTTTGGGCAATGAAAATATTCTCTATGATACAGTAGTGAACAACATATGTCATTATATATTTGTCAAAATACTCAGAATGTAAAAACAAAATAAAACAAAATAGATAGAATGTACTCCCCCCAAAATGACCCCTAATATAAACCACTGGACTTTAGTTAATAATAATGTGTCAATACGGCTCATTCATTATAACAAATGTACCACACTACTTCAAGATGTCAATGCAGGGAAACAGTGGGAGAAGGGGCTATGTGGGAACTCTCTGTGCTTTCTGATCAATTTTTCTGTGACCCTAAAACTGCTGTAAAAATAAAGTCTATTTTTTTAATTACCATTACCCCCAAATTAGTACAAAATCAGCAAGCATTACAAAATGAAATCAATAAAATTCAAGGCTCTGTTTGTTCATGATTATCAGAACTCATATTCCACCAACACTGCCCACAGGCAGTTTTTGAAAGCCCATTTGAAAGGATCAACTCCTTTTATCTTAGTGGAACTGTTCTGTTCACTTGAAGATATGGTGAGGGTTGTGGTGTATGGAAATATGCATGAAAATGATTATCCAATCCAATGTGTGATGGAATTGGGGACAGAGAGTTTGTTCGTGAAGTAATTACTACTTCACTTACTGTTATGAACGATTGCTAGTTGGTATTTACAAAGCAAAAGCCTCACCTCAGAGCTGCTCACGGAGAAGGGTGGCCTGTAGGTACAGGTGTTGAGGTTGGCGTGCCTGGGCTTTGGCTGCTGACTATCCATCATTTTTCTCCAGCCCAGCTACTGGGAAAATTTGATTCATCCAATTTGATAGGATATCATCGAGCTTTCGCCTGGCAAGAATCACATATGTTAAGAATGGCCATGAGTCTGGGGGTATAGCTCAGTGGCAGAGCGTGTGCTTGGCAAACACAAGGTCCTCGGTTCAATCCCCAGTGCATCCGTTAAGGGGAAAAAATTTTTTAGTTAAAAAAAAAAAAAAGAATGGCCATGAAAGCACCGATTACTGTAACTTGTTCTTAAGGGAACCTTGGGCCTAGGTGGGGTTTTGTAAAAGGGGAATTAAATTGTTAAAAACTCATCGCAGTCTCTCTAGCCTTGATGAGCAGAGAGAGTCTTCTGGTCATTGAAGAGGCGTGTTCTTTTGTGGGATAGAGATCATCAAGCTTGTTCATGGCCTCTTTCTGAACAACAGCTTAGTTTTCCAAGAACCTCTGCATTGGGAAGGGAGTCCTTGGAGAGCAGACCTGAATTTTGAGGATACTACTGGGGTTATGCCCCCTTTGTAAGAAATGGACCTCCTGACTTAAAAACCAAGGAATTCTGTTGAAAAGAATCTTTCCCTAAGACCCTGATCTATGTTGGAAACATGAAAAGTTAGTTTCTGAATCTGTAATATTGTAGGCCACATACTGTATGTCGGAGACCTCACTGAGGTACAGCCCCCCCTACAAAGCACTATAAGCAGATAGTGTAGGGAGTCCCTTCTCTTGACTTAAGAGAAGCCATTTTTGGCCTCAGCCATTTTGGGATCTAAACCTGGCTTGCCCTTAAACAGGTCTCACCAATTAATGATCTTAAGGGAACAAAAGAACAAAATGTTACCAAGCAGGATTAGTAACAATAGCAAAGATAACAAATCAGTTGTAAAGACTCCCAGTTCTGTTTGAACAGTAAAGACTATCCTGAAGCATTTTCTTGAGCTGTTTTGCAGAATTTAAGTCCCCCAGGTGCTCAACCACTAGATCAACTGTAACCTAAGGGATGATGATGTTGACCTGTTCTGACCCTCGTGATGTCAGTCAACTAAAGCTTGGACTCTCCAAGCCCCTTCATGAATATGCATGGACCCTTAGCTTAAAAATTCCCCAATTTTACTATTCAGGGAGACACTGCTTTGGGAAAGATCCCCGGTGTTCTCCTTACTTGCTGCAAGTAATAGATCCTTCCTTCTCCAACTCTTTGGCTTGGCTGTGACTTTTGGCTGGATATCCAAAAGGCAAACCCAGTTTTCAGGTAACACCACCATCCCACTGTCTCTATGGGGCACTGTGTGAGTCTGTGTGTGTGTGTGTGTGTGTGTGTATTTCATTTCCCCCAGGAGATACTATATTCCAGCTTTCCCCTACATTTTGTAATATGCAGGCCATATGTAGTGTAATATACATTTGCAATATGGCAGGCTGCTGAGTCAAGGTTCATCTACCACAGCTCTGACTTCAAATTTCATCAGGGCAGTCTGTGTTTCAGAAAGCAAACAGGAGAGGGTGGACACCCAGCCCAACACTGGCCAACTCACCAGTCTGAAGATACAAGCTGTTCAAATTGTGCTCAATCCCTCTGATTTTCTGAGTCTCCCTTTGCTCCCAAGGGAGCAATGAAATAAATTCACTTCTCCCAAGGAATTCTCAAACGTACACTTGCCACCAAGAGTGGACCTCTCTTTCTAGAACTCATATCTTAAATCCCTCTCTTCAAATCCCCTCTCTCCTTAAATTATCTCCCCCCATCTGCAAAGGAAGCAAAACCAGATAGTGAGGTAGGCAGTCAGCTTCAGTGGGGAAAGGAGGCCCATGTAATGTGGAGACTGGTGGGTAATGTGGCAAACTGAAAGGCACTCACATCTGAAGGTTCTTACAGCTGTGCTGGACAAACCAGATGTAGGAACAGGAAGTCCAGTTCAATCACCAGCAGCCAATGTGGGGTGTTTGATCTCCATTTTATAGCACAAATTGTTTAGTATGAATTACAGGGCTCTTCCCAGCCTGGCCACCAACAGCCTGCCTGCCCTTCAGGTCCAGCCACTTCTACCCACGTCCCTACACTCTGTTTACATGACATAATCTCACGTATTCTCCCAAATGAGCAAGATTTGCTTGTTCATTTCCCCCCTCCACATTTATTCAGCACATAATATGTACCAGGCACTATAACAGGTGCTGAGGAAACAATGGTGAGTAAGAGTTTCAGCCCTCATGGAGCTTACAGGGTAGTGTCAGCAAAATTAATCAACTGATCCAAGAAAGAAGTGGAAAGTTTTATTTGGGCCAAATTAAGGATGATAACCCAGGAATGGCCTCTCAGAAAGCTCTAAGAAATGTCTTGCTCTGTTAGAAGCCAAAGCACACTTATACAAGTATTTTGAGACAGCAGGCTGGGCATTAAGTGACATATTCTTGGGAGTTTACACAACCCAGATCTGCAAGGGCAAGGGGTGGGTCACCGTGAACCCTTACAAGACCGAGAAGGAATGTTATCTTTTAAGGACTTGTCTTGTTGGTGCTGGGGAATGTTGCTCTCTATGGCCGAGCAGGTATTTCCTCTGATGGGGAGGTCGGATTGATGCATAACTGTGCAGGTGCACAGTGCACAGTGGAGGGGAGAGAGGAGGCCAAGGGACAGAAAAGATTTATGTTTACATTTTTCTTTGTCTTGCCATAAAATATGAAATTTATCTCACAGTAGTGAGGAAACATACATGTTAACAGACAGTGATCAGACTGTGTTAAGCATTATGAGAAAAGTACAGGATTTTGACTGAAATTGACATGAGAGGTGCCTTGGCAGATCAGGAGAGAGATGGGTTTGGGAAGGCTTCTCAGAGGAGTAGATGTCTTAGCTGAGGCTAAAGATGAGCTAAGGAAGCAAAGATGAGAGTGAAAGAGTGAGGGGGGAGCTAGAGAGAAGGTTTCCAGGAAGAGGGAACAGTACTTATAAAGGTCCCTAAGGAAACTGGCCTTCCATGTGGCTGGAGAGTAAGGATGTAGGGAGGGGTGGCACAAGATAAGACTAGGGAGGTGAGCAGAGGCCAGATCTTTCCAAGCCTTGTGGTCAAATGAGGAGTTCAGGTTTGTCCTCAGGGCAAGAGGCAGCCACCAACAATAGTTTTTAATCAAGGACCATTTTGACCCAAATTTGCCTTTTAGAAGAATCCCCGGGGATCCCCGTGGCTTCACTGTGGAGAACAGGCTGAAGTGAGCAAGCCTGGAGGGAAAGAGGACAATTAGAGGGCCCTCATAATAAATTAGCCAGAGATGATGATGGCCTGGCCTGAGGAGTGGCAGTGGGGGCCAGTGGGGGGAAGCATGGACCAGTCTTGAGAGGTAGATCTGACATAACTCAGAGATTTAGTGAGGGTGGGGAGAAAGACGAGAGGAGGTGTTGATGATGAATTTGGAGTGCCCTGGTCCCCTACTCATCCTTTCGGCTTAATTCTCTCAGTCTTCATGGGCCCTCTAGGTACCTTCTTACCCACTGCTCCCAGCACTCTGCCCCACTGCGGGTTAGCACGCCATACTGACTGATGGTGAGAGGCTGGGTGTCTTTCTTCCTTATTGTGTTAGGCTGGGACCCTGAACCAATCAGGGTCAAATTGGGAGATGGAAGCCACACAGTAATTTGAACAGCTAAATTTTAATATCGAGAATTATTAACCATAACAGGGGATTTGAATAAAGAGGGACTGGCTAGTAAAAAGTAAAGAGAATTCTAAAGAATATAAGATCAGCTGATATAGTGCATGCATCACCTCCAAGGCTGAGGTAGAGCACCAGGGCTGAGATTCAGACCTTACTGGAGAGAATATGGCCATTGGTAATTGGGCAAATAAGTCACTTGGTGCTATACCAATGGTAGTTGCTGGAAATTTGCCCTCCAGAACTGGCCAGAAACCTACTTTCTAGGGTGCAAGAAAAGTCATTCATGGAGAGGTGTCCCAATGGAGGCACCCTGCCACAAAGCCAACCAAGGGTGGGGGGTGTTTCAGAGGGAAACTACTGGCTGCTGGGTGCTGCTGGTCACTGTCACCGCCAGAGTGGGCTCTGGAGGAGATACCTAAGCTGCAGAACCCTGGTGCTAGAGAAGCCATCTGCACTGCAGGAGCTGGGCACTGAGGAACCCAGGCACGCTGCAGGAGCCTGCTAAAAGGGTACATTTGAATGAGAAGGAAGATCCCTTCCTCCTCTAATTACTCTCCAGAGCCCTCTGGAGACAAAGATTAAATGGTCCAGCTCCACTTTTGCATAACAAGCAATGAAGGGTGAAATTGGAGCCAAGAGGGAATAAATTGGTAACTGGCGCAGACCTCCTCCTGCTTATCACAGCTGCTGGAATACCACATGGGGGTAGAAATCAACATGGCAGGGAGGGTTTGGAATGGAGAAATGTATACTCAAGTCCACTGTCCATTTTTAAACAGGGTTGTTTTTTGGTTGTTGTTGAGTTGTAGGACTTCTTCATATATTCTGGTTATTAATCCTTTACCAGAAATATGATTTGCAAATATTTCCTCCCATCCTGTAAGTTGCTTTTCCACTCTCTTGATAGTGTCCTTTGAGGCACAAAAGTTTTCAAGTTTGATGAAGTCCACTTTATCTACTTTTTCTTTTATTGCCTGTGCTTTTGGTGTCATATCCAAGAAGTGATTGCCAAATCCAACGCCATGAAGCTTTTCCACCATGTTTGCTTCTAAGAATTGTATAGAGTTAGGTTTTATGTTTATGTCTTTAATTCACTTTGAGTTAATTTTTGTATAAGATATAAGGTAAAAGTCCATCCTTTCACATATGGATATCCAGTTTACCCAAAACCATTTGTCAAAAAGCATTTGACCATATATGCAAGGGTTTATTTCTGGGTTCTCTATTCTATTCTATTGGTCTATATGTTTGCCTTATTCCAGTTCTACACTGTTTTGATTACTGTAGCATTTGCCTCTTAAATTCTGTGAAAAATTAAAACTGGGGTTACAAACAAAAATTGTAACAATACTGGTTTTTATATATTTGCCAAGGTATTTACCTTTAACAAGGATCTTGATGTCTTCATAAGGTTTCAAGTTACTAGGTAGCATCCTTTTCTTCCAACCTGAAGGAGTCCCTGGAGCATTTCTCATAGGACAGGTCTAGTGGTAATGTGTGGGAGAGTGGTATGTTGGGGAGGGGAATGGAATGAAGGTAGTCAAAAGATACAAACTTCTAGTTATAAGACAAATAAGTACTAGGGATACAACATACACCATGATAAATATAATTAACACTGCTGTATGTTATATACAAAAGTTAAGAGAGCAAATCCTAAGAGTTCTCATTACAAGGAAAAAAATTTTTTTCTATTTAATTCTGTATCTATATGAAATGACAGATATTCACTAAACTTTCCGCGGTCATTATTTCATTATGTATGTACGTCAAATCATTATCACTTGCACCTTAAACTTGAACAGTGCTATATGTCAACTATATCTCAATAAAACTGTAAGAAAAAATGTAAATCAGGGTAACCAAATTGTCTTAGTTCATGAGGGAAAGAACTCTAGCTAATAAATGTGGGAAAATGATTGAATTAGAAAATTATCATTTCCCAGCCCCTAATGAAATAATAGCAAATGAACATAATAACAAATAAAGCAATGAACTATGGATGAAACTATCAGATGAAAGTTCATTGTGGAACTTTACAATTGCAGGGACAGGCTGTCACCACCTGAGTCCACAGATCACAAAAATTGGGACAATGAGCTATTGTGGGTCTCCTGGTGTGAAGCCAACACACATCACTTCCTAGGAAAGTGAACTGGAGTATAAACCAGCCTCTAGAAGTAACCTCAGTTTACAAGATATGAGAGAGAGAGGAACAAGTTAAACTACACCACAAAGAAGCAGACAAAGCCACAAAGTGAGGCATTTTACAGGACGATTGACCCATTTTTTTCCAACAAGTAATGTCAGGGAAAAATAAAAAGGGCAGGAGATCCTTATAAGAGACTTTACTACCATACAAGCAAAGTTCACTGCAGATTTTGTACCTATTCTGAGTTGTATGTATGCTAATGTCTTTTAGACAATCAGAGAAATTTGATTCTGGACTGAGTATTAGATATTAACAGGGCCAACTTGATTTTGCCCAGTGTGAAAATGGCGTTGAGGTTATGTAAGAAATAAGCCTAGTTTTTTAGAGCTGTATATTGAGATAGAGAGGGGTGAAATGACTAAGGTCTGCAGCAGAGGAAAACAGGGATGCAGCAGAGGAAAACGGATACAACAGATGTGACAGGAATCTTGGTAATTGTTGAATCCATGTGATAGGATATGGGAGTTTTTCTAATTTCACTTATGAAAATGTGTGTATTCTCATAAGTTTCTAAAGAGGTTTTTTAAACGAGATAATGTGTGGGAAGAGTGGTACAGGAATAAATGTTAGTTTCTCTCCCAGTAGCAGATGTAAGACACATGGGTGGAAGAGAAAATCCCCTAGGTGTTTTATTAAAAACACTCTCCTGGGACCTGTTCATTTAAGGACCTACCAAAATTGCCCTCAGAGCGTGGTATGTAGGCCACGCCCCACCAGGGATATGACTTCAAAATGCAGAAAAAAACTCAAATTTGCAACTTGGTCAGAGACTCAGCCAGATCAAATATCTGAGAAGCGTTTTTTTTTTTTTAAGTAGAGAATTATTTTCGATGTATTAAAAAGAAAATCCCCAAGGGGGGAAGCTGCAATTTTTGTGGGAAGATAATTATCTGTGCTAGTTAAACCAAACCAAAACATAGGCATTCTTCGCAATAACTCCCTGAGAGCAGCGTTTAGGGAGACAGTAATTAGGTAATTAGACCTGGGAGTCACCGCAGAGCCTCGGGTGCCGACAGGTGTTAATGACTCTGGCTCCGCGGTGCAGGCGGGAGGTAGACCTAGCCTATTCGGAGCGGCGGGACACCGGGCCTGATTCCTCTCGCCTCCGCTGCTCTAGCGGAGCATCCTTCCCCCTATGCCTGCGGAGAAGGGCGCAGCCGGACGGGCTCGCGCTGATTCCCCCGCTCGGGCGCTCCCGACTCTCAGCCCTCACCGAAAACTGCCGGCGCATCAGGTTACCACGCTTAGCGCTCCCAGACCCAGGGATTTAAGCACCCGCGGATAATCCGAAACTGCGCTCCGTTCCGGGCCTTGCATCAGGCAGTGACTTTTCCTTGTTCATCACTTGCTTAATACAGTACTCCTTATCAAACATGTGGGCTGTGTAAAGGAAAAAGAACTAATGTATGTCCCTACCAGCCAGAAATGCTTTTAGCATTCTGATGCTTTTCAGTCTAGTGTGTTAAAATATATTACTGGGATACCAGAGACACTACTTCAGAAGCTAATTTTTCACTTTACATCATTGTTGAGCAGTTACTATGCCTATCAAAACGTTTATTGCTGATAAAAGTCCTCCGGGGGAATGCACAGCCCCCCTCCTCATGGTTCATATTTGGATAATTTCCCACTTTTGACAAACATAAAGAAGTGTTCGGACCGATTTTGCCAAATACTCCACTCGCGCCGGCAGCGCACAGGTCCGGGCGGCGGAAGAGATCACTGTTCCCGCGCGTGAAGCCCAGAGGCCCCGTGCAGGGCACTGGCCCTGCTCTGTGACGTCAGACCCAGGCCCCGCCCCCTCACTCGGAGCCAATCGAAGGGCGGGGCGGGGTCCTCCAGAAGAGCGCGGGCGCGCGGGCGGGCGGGCGCCCACGGGGTCCGGAGAGATGGACCCAGCCATTCCCAGCGTCCAGGCTCAGGCCCGGCCGTCTCCACCCGAGGCGTGGCCGCCGGTGGGCTTGGAGGAAGAGCTCTATGACTGTCCAGATTACTACTACCTGCGTGACTTCCCGGCCTGCGGGGCCGGGCGCAGCAAGGGCCGGACCCGGCGCGAGCGGGAACTGCGCACCAACTGGCCGGTGCGCGGCGGCCACGAGCGCAAGATCGCACAGAAGCTCCTCAATGGCCAGCGCAAGCGTCGCCAGCGCCAGCTGCAGCCTCGGCCGCGCACCCGTCTCGCCTGAGCGCCGGTGCGTACGGGCAGCCACCGGCCAGGACCCAAGGGACTCGACTGCCCCCTGCGACTCGACCCGGGCACAGTCGCCCCCTTTTGAGGCTGCCCCGCCTAGCGAGTCAGATCTGGGCCTGCTAAACCCCCAGCTTATCTCCTGGCTTCAGTTGGAATGGTGTAAAACTCCACCTTTGGGAATTTTGTAATTGGGTAAAAGGGGCCAGGAAACGCAGAAAACACCTCTTTAAAAATACAAGCGAGAGATTTGCTTCCAGTGTTTATGCACGCACTAAAGAGAATAATAGATTTTTTTGTCTGATTTTCTACAGGATACCCAAAGGACTTGATAAAAAGTATTTTCTGACTCCAGCTGTAACTGTGGTCCTAAGGGGCAGAGAGTCCATGTTGCTCAACAGAACTTCTTTTCAACATCGCTTAAGTTTACTTCTTCAGTATCTTTTCCTTACTGATTGTTAATTAAGTAACATCCAAGTGGGTAAGCCTTTTTAGGGTTTTTAATTAAAAGAGAGCAGCAAGAATGGCATTTTAACTCTGGGTTCTTTTTTTTTTTCTTTCAGCTGCTGCGGTAACTCATTTAAATTCCATAAATATCCGAGTTCTTGTGTATAAAGTCACAAAGGTGAATAGGGGCAGAACAAAGAGGAATCTGAACAAGTTTTCAACCCAAGTGTCATACTCCTGTGCAGCTTTACTATTTGCTTGCCAGGAGTATTTTAAATTGTAATAATACATATTAAACAATTACCAGGCTTTGTGCACTACTGACCCCACAACAATCCTTTGAAATGAATGCTATCTACATTTTACAGAGGGGATTCTGAGGCACAGAGAATTCAAGTAACTTTCTAAAAGTCACTCAGCTAGTTAGAGCAAGCATACCCAAAAGCATTTACTCTTTCCCGCATCACAGTTTCCCCCAACTGTAAACATCCTTGTGGTTCACAACCACCCACAAACTCCATGCCCCAGGACTAGAGATACAGTTTTTAAAGTATGCAGAGCACAACAGGGTCCCTTTTCTTTGTCTTCAGTCTGCAGTCAGGCCTCTGTGCCCAGTGGTGAGCCCGGGGTTAGGAGAGAAGGGCAGTGTCCTGGAAGGAGCAACCTGAATTTTAATCCTAGCTCTGACTGTTTATCAGTCTGGCATTCAGCAAACTTCTGAGTGGTAACTACTTAGAAGTTCCACCAAGCTTCAGGTTTCTCATTTGTAAAAAAATGGGAATAATACTGGATGACCTTGCCAAAGTGGATTATAGATAAAATATATAAACCTCTGACAGTTAAGGTCTTGGCACATGATCAGTGCTCAGTAAATGGTAATTACTTTTCAGTTTACAGAACACAATCCCAGCTCTCCTTCCTCTCAAGTCACAAGTCTTAAATTCTTTCACTCACTTCATTAATTCTTTTTAAATGTCTCTTAACATTCAGGCAGTGTGGTATGGTAGGAGTCCCGGTTTTGGAGTCAAACTCCTACATGGACTTGTGAAGTTGCTTAAACTCTAAGCATCTGTTTCCTTACCTATAAAATAAAGATGATATAGTACCTACTTCAAGAGTTCTTGTGAAGCATAAATGAAATAATGCATGTAAAGCTCTTAGTTCTGGCAGATAATACTCAAATAATTAGTAATAATGTCCCCACTGCCACTGTCTTAGCCTTCAGGATTTTTTTCTTTACTCCTAGTCTGCTGTGTCTCAGACATGCCCAGATTAATCTTCCTGAAGACCATTTTCATCATATAAAAATCCTCAATGACTGCTCTAACCTTGTAGGATTAAAAAGCTTAGATTCCTCATATTGTGCTGAAAATCATCTATTGGATTTTCTTAAATTTGTTTCCCACAACTTCCAAAAACACATTCTGGTTCTTGACACAGGTCTAATATCCTCTATCGTCACCATATTCAGTTCTGCTTCTTCATTTGAATCTGTGCTGGCCTACTTAGTGTGCCCTTTATAATTTTAATTTTTATGAAACTAATTCCACTTATATTTAAGTGCCACTTTCTCCCTGAAGCCTTCATCCCACATTGAATGTTCATTCCTTTAAAATCCTTTAGAACTTCGTATAAACACCACTTAACTACTTGTTTATATGGTATTTTGTACCTTTAGATGAACAGTTAAATTCACCCCCTTTTTTGGTCTGCTATGTGCAAGGCACTATATTCATCTTAGTTATCAAAAAAAAAAAAAAAAAGAAAACGAAAACATAGTGTATGGACCTTAATGTCTTAAACATCTCAGTTCCTACACAATTCCTCCTATAAAGTACAGCATACTCAGAGAGACACAAGCTATTTTAAAGCAACACTGTAAAGGGTTCTAACTAGATTAGAGCTTTTAAAATTTAAATATGGTCACTGTAGGAATTATGTGCTGTGTAAAAATTACTATTTTGTTTCTGTGGGTCAAGAAATTGGGAGTGGCTTGACTAGGTGGTTACAACTCAGAGTCTCTGATTAGGTTGGAGAGGATTTAGGCTTCACTTTTTGAATGGAGTGTCAAGAGATCTGAGGACATATTTTAAACTACACATTGTAGGTTTAATTATTGTGTGTTCATTGTAGACAAATTGGAGAATACATACAAAAAAAACAAGGAAGCAAGGAAGAAATCACTATCCAATGGATAACATCTTGGATACTTGGATGTATATAATTTCAGTCTTTAAAATAAATATGAATTTTCTCAAATATAAACATACTATGTACACTATTTCATAACCTGCTCTTTCACTTAATATTCTGTGAAGGTACTTCTCATGTCAGATATTCTTTCATAACATTTTACATGGCTGCAAAGCATTCCACCATATGTATGTATTATAACTTATTTAACTAATTCTATATTGCAGGACACTGATTATTTCAGGTATTCCCTATTTTGTGCATTTTGTTAAATCAACATCCTTATGGCTAATCTCTCTCCACCTTCATGTCTTTCTTAAATTCTTAAGACGTGGAACTTCTCGATTCATGTCTTTCTTAAATTCTTAGACATGGAACTTCTCGAACAGAGTCTGCACAATTTTAAAACTTCTCACATCTACCACCTAATTTCAGTAGAATTTTTACTGCAGTCATCAAGAGTCCATTCAGCCAAATGTCTGTATCAAATATCTGTAACAATGCCTCCAACAGTTCTTTGTTCAAATTTTGATCACCATTATGGAATTTGTTGAGAATGACTGAAATCACTGTGGCATGAGAAGTTGTTATATAAATTTTACTAAAGTGTGAACTTAAGCACACCTATGCCACCAAACTACAATTGCTATGTAGCATTATCTTCTTTTCAGTTCCCAACTTTGCTATTAGTTTTAATTAACTTTTTACATGTTCTTGCTTTTTGAATAGAGGTACTATATTAACTATTTCAAAATTTTAAAAACAAAATGTTATCAAAGTCCCACCCCTATGCCACAGTCACCCAGTCCTACTGCCTGAAGGCACTCCATGTTATCAGATAAAGATACATTATGCGTGTCCAATATAGTCTTTTCTCTCCATTTCACACAAATAATAGCACTCTATACTTCAGCTCCTTGCTATTCCAGTTTATCTTGGAAACCATTTCATATCAACATGCAGAAAAGAATCTTTCCTTTTTATAGCTGCATATTGTGTGAATGTGCCATTTAAAAAAATTTGTATTTTACTGACAGGAATTTAGGCTGTTTGTAATCTTTTACTATCACAACATAACCTTGTACAAACATCTGTTATTCTCTCCTCAATTTAGGAATTAATGATTTATCCAAGTACGATTAAAATTGTCTTTGTTCTGGTCTAGATGCCTGTTTGTGCAAAGCTCTGCTCATTCTAAGTTCTTCTTGTGCCACAATGTCCTTTATAATAAGGTTCCTTTCTCTGTCTCTTTTTTATGAATTATCCAAAGGCAAATACAAAGGCTTATCATTTGTAAAGCTTTAAGAAATTTTGTGAAAATAAAACTTTGTTTTTCACAAAAGGTTTTTGCATTATTTACCCTTCAGTTCCACAAACATTTTGCTGTTGCTGGAAAGACTGTGTTAAACTCTGCTACCTCTGGCGGAAGGGGGACATTTCTGCCAAGCAGAAATGGAGGTTCTACCTTTGCTTTCTCTCCTCCATTAAATACCAACCTAACCCCAAGGACTTTCCCATTAAAATTCTCATGAAATGCCACTAGTTAACTTGTGCTATTGTATAAGTACTGTTAAAAGCATTTCACACCAAGTATCACGAAAGCACAGATCCTTGGGGCCTCTGCAATTGCTGTTCTCTCTGCCTCAATAAACATGAGGCTTGCTTCCTCAAGGACTCCATTCAAATACTGCTTCTCCAACTTCTAACTCCCAATCTCCCTTACCCTGCTTTTGCTTCATATCAAGACCACCTAATTTACGTAGGTGTTTTGTGTCTCCCCTCCCTGAATTTAAACTCCAAGAAGGTAGTCTTGTTTCATTTCCTGCTCTATCTCCAGAACCTAGCTAGCACCTGTAGATCATACAGAACAGCTTATTTACCAGTATTCGTTAACACCATCCCAAGTAGGGGCACAAATTCTAGAATATATGTGAAAGGGGTTTGAAAATGTATGAAATAAATAAACGTAAGGCGTTATTACTGTCTGAATATAACCTCTGGATCCACAGACAAAATACAAGTAGAACCAACTCAACTCGGTCGATCCCTAAAGTTTTCTGTTTTCTTCATTTCAGTTCTTATTACGGGCCCACACTGGACCTCAAAAAATATTTACCCAAATAAGTAAGTTAATAGTGAGAAAGGTTAAGCAACTTGCTCAAGGTCCTGCAGCATTTATGCCAGAGGTCTGACTCTCTCTCAAAGTTGGAGCTGACCTACCATGTTAATAACGCAAACGTTTGAAGGTAGCAGCGACGGTCCTTATGCCCTAGGAAGCAAACAGCTAGCGGCTCTGACTCGTACCACGATCCGAGGACAATGTTTGCCGGACAACCACAATCACTTCCGGCTTCATAAAAAGCCCTGGAGCCGAGCTCCTGACGTCTAATGCGTACGACAAGGCGCCGCCGTGACGTCCTGCTCTTCCAGTGACCTTCAGTCGGTCGGAGACGTCGGCGAACGGAAGGCCTCTGCCTGTGCGCCGATTGGCTGCACGGTGAGGTCAGCCCCGCCTCCCAACTTCCGCTCTTATTCCTTGCAGAAAACGCCAGCATCTTCTCCGAATCCCGCTCTTCTAGCGTATTCGCCGCGCAGTTGCGATGCCTCGTGGAAGCAGAAGCCGCACTTCCCGCGTGGCCCCTCCGGCCAGGTGAGGTCACCGCGGGCCTTGGGGCTCTGCCGGCGCCGTGACACAGAGGGAGGCCGCGTTGGGCCACGGCGCGGCCGGTTGTCGGCGGGTGGGGGAGTCCGAAGGCCGGGACGGCGTGGGGCCGCCTCAAGCTGGTTGTAGGGGTTTGGCTAGTTTTCCTGTCGGTGGCAAAACGTTCTAATTTCGAATGTCCGTGAGTTACTAAAGTATTTTAGAGCTCATTTTAAGTAAAAACAGGCCAGTGCTAGAAAGAGTGAATATTTTAAACTAATCCGGCTGAAACGTCAAAAATAGAAAAAAAAATAAAGGTGGTATAATCGGGAAAATCATCGTATTTCAATTCAGTAAATAATCTTTGAGCACCTGCCATGAGCAGTGAGCGTTCCAAGGACTCGGCCCAGTTGGGGACACAGTCGCCAAGGCCTCACCTATATATGACGTTTTCTGGTTCATAAAATATTTGTAAAATGTATTGCCAGTGATAACCTCAGAGGTAGTTGTTATTCATGCTTTACAGAAGTAGAGAAACTGGAGACTTGTGATAAGTGACTTGTCCAAGGTCACGCAACCAGTAAGTAGGGAAACCAGTCTCAGACCCGAGTTTTCCGGTGACAGACTCAGGACATTTAGCACAGAACCACGTTGCTTCTCTGGACTATGGTGGATTGTGTTCAAACAGTATGCTAGGCGTGTAGGGAAGGAATTCACTTATGGAAAGATGCTGCTAGCCAAAGGAGGGGAAACCACATTTTTGTAAAGTTATGCCAGATACCACCTGATAGGAGGTGAAGTTTTGAACCTAGCCTTATTTGGGGGAAGAGCACCCAAGGAAGCAATCTAAAAATGGACAGAGGGAGTTTAATCTATGTGAAAGTTTTTTGTGTTTTTTTTGTTTTTAAATATAAGTGCTTGGAATTGATCTCAGGACCTGGTGCATCTAAGCCTGTGCTCTACCACTGAACTATTCCCACCCACCAGTTTTTTTCTTAACATTTATTTGATCCCTCAATAAAATGTCAGCTTCATGAAAGCAAGTGGTTTTTGTCTCATTAACAGTTATTTTAATTTTTATGAAGTATTGAAATAACTGTGTTCTTTAAAGATATTATAGACTGTGTGAATACATGGAAATGGTTGCAAAAAGCAGGGGAAAAGGGTTTATATTTGGTGATTACAACCTTAACAGACAGTTAAAGGAAAATGATGTAAATAGTTCAGGGAAATGCGTTCTGTTAAGTTTTCTTATATGTATGTGGCGTTCTGTTAAGTTTTCTTATATGTATGTGGAATATGTGTTTAATGATTTAAAATGAAAATTCTGAGGTTTATTTTTAACATGCAAGCGGTTTTTTTGTTTCATTGGTTTAGAGGTTTTTTTTTTAGGTTGGCAATCTCCAAACCTGGCGGGAAGTGGGAACTCACACTTTTTGCTTATTTCTTTTGTAGCCGGGCACCTCCAATGAGAGCTGCACCCAGGCCAGCGCCAGCAGCTCAGCCACCAGCAGCGGTTCCACCATCTGCTGTTGGCTCCCCTGCTGCTGCACCCCGGCAGCCAGGTCTAATGGCCCAGATGGCAACCACTGCAGCTGGCGTGGCTGTGGGTTCTGCTGTCGGCCACACTCTAGGTCATGCCATCACTGGGGGCTTCAGTGGAGGGAGTAATGCTGAGCCTTCAAGGCCTGACATCACTTACCAGGTAAGAGTTGGGGCAGCATTCCCTTCGGTGGTGTATTTTATGAGAAAACCTAGTTATTTGCAAATTGTTTACATGTAGGAACTGTAATTTTAGAATCCACATGTGGAGAATGGTTTATCAAAAGCCATGTTTGAGTGGGGAGGTTATAGCTCAGTGGTAGAGTGCATGCTTAGCATGCACGAGGGTCCTGGGTTAAATCCCCAGTATCTCCATTTTTAAACATTAAATAAATAAACAAACAAACAAACCTACCCCCCACCCCCAAAGCCACATTTGGCAGTAATTTTTCTCCTCTCATGAGCATGGGTGTATACTCTATTTCTGGTGTACTTGAAATGCTCATCCATCTATTTTTCTATTAGTCCCATTTTTTCCTCCATGAAACTTCACTGAACCACTGGTCTTTAGATGCCCAAATAACCATTTCACTGTATTTGCATTTTTGTTCTTGAATCTTTCTGATTACAACTAGAATTTTTGCTAAAGCTCTTTCTGCCTTTAACACTTTGATCACCCATTGTGGATTGGGTGTATTTCCTGTGGGGCCCAAATTCACACTTTACCACAGTGTGATGCACTGACAGTATAAGTGCTTATAATTAATCTGTTTGTTTTTCCAGTATAATTGGGATTGTTTTTAAACAACAATTTCTAATTTTCAATTTTCAACCTTTTTACACTTTTATTACTTCTTGGAATGTCATTATTCTGCACAGAATAAATTTGAGTAACAGAATAGTCTGTGGCGTTACTTTGATACTTCTTAGCTGCAGAGGGATATGTGATCCAATTAGTAGAACCGATAGATCACAGTTTACAAATTAGAAAAAATCCTCAAGGCAAAACAGTCAGAAGAATGTGTGTCCTTTGTTGTCAGAAAAGCGGTCAAACTTTGGAACAACAAGAAGTTAGGAAAAATGTAAAAAAGACAGAAACATATTGTCCTAGTTGTCTCAAAACACCACAGCTTTATATAAATTGTTTCAGCAAACATCGTAAGAAAGTAACAGTATTATATAATTTTATTCAAAAGAAAATAATTTTTATCTGCATATATACTTGTATGTTGTTACTATTGAATACTTGTATTACAAATGAAAACTGTTACAAATTACTTGTAAAAAACCTGCATAAGTGGATAAAGGAAAGTGTCACCCAGATTTGGGTGAGGCGATCAACATGTTAAATTTTTTCATGTTCCATGTTCTTAGACAGCAGCTGTAGTTTGCATCTGGTTCTAGTTCTGTTTCCCCAGGTAACTTCAAAGACAGTGGCTCTTGCTCTGTGTTGGGGAAAAGTCTGATTTCCTTTCTTACCAGTCCTGAATGTTACGCCTTTGCAGGAGCCTCAGGGATCCCAGCTGACACCGCAGCAGCAGTCTGGCCCGTGCTTCTATGAGATGAAACAGTTTTTGGAATGTGCCCAGAACCAGGGTGACCTTAAGCTTTGTGAGGGTTTCAGTGAGGTGCTGAAACAGTGCAGACTGGCGAATGGTAGGTGATAAATCAATCCGGGATTGAATTTGTATCTGCGTAATTCACTGAATGGTACCCCTGGCCCCTGTGAAACTTAGGGGGTCTGCGTTTAATAAATTAAACTGACAAGTTAGAGGAGATTTTGTTTAAATTACTCTAAAAGTAATTAACTCCTCTAACAAGGAGCTAGTGTAGAGGTTTCTACTCATTATCTTAGGCTTTTGCCAGTTGTGTTCTGAATCTGATTCTTCCTGAAACAGGTATAGGTTACTGTGTGCACCAAGATTTTTTTTTCCCACAGTCTTACTGTGGTTATTGCATGTGAATGATTCATAGCCTTAGTGCTATGACTATAAAATTACATTTGATTTCACCACGGTCCTGGAATGAGCATAAAGATTGACAGCATTATCATTCTAGACACCTCATCTGAGAGAGACAGGTTTACTAAATCCCTCAGTGGGACCTTGAGCTTTAGGCTCTCTGGAATGTTGGCAGTCAGCTTGTTTTATGTGAGTTCCTCCTATCAACCTGAGAATTCACCACCTATTAAAAATGCCTATTTTCATTTTCCCACCTTCATTTAGGTAGGAAATAGGGGAGAAGTTAATCCTTTCAGGTGGTTGAACTGTGGAATTAGGAGATTACATGGACAAGTTTATCTGAAGTCTTTGATGAAGCTACATCTTGTACGAAAGTGAATATATTTCTGCTTCAGGACTCCACCCCTGGAAGCATGTATGTCTTTTCTCAGTTGTGGCAAGCGTAGAGTTGAAGTTTTGTTGGTTGCAGGATTCCTAAATAGCTTGTGAAAGAAACTAATAATTTTGGGCTTCATCCCTCCTTTCATAATTTGGAGGACTTATGTTTTGTTGAAAACATATAGCTAGTGCTCTTCTAACTAACATACCTTTTCTGTTTGCAGGATTAGCTTAATCAAGAAGTTGCAGGTGAAGACATGAAAAATCGTCTCTCATGACCAAGTTGATTTAGCATAGAAAGCTAATTGATAATGAAGAGATGCGAAAGTGTGAAACCACTAGTTAAACCTCTCCTCTATCGTTAGTAGCTATTTTTGCTTCAGAATTGCAGTTGGAAGAGGGTGTCCTTCCTAAACAGAAGTTCACTGAGATGACATTGAGTTTGGGGCTGGCAGGTGTTTGGCCTCTTAAACATGTTTTTCTGATGTTATTGTTTGTTAATTAATTAGAATAAAGTGATTTTCTTTCAAAATGGGGGTGACTCATAAGAATAAGTTTATAAATCACAAATGGCACACACATTGTGAACATAAAGGCATTTTACAGAAGAACACAGTTGCCTCAACATGTCTATAAGTTTACCTAGTTTGTAGTCTCTGGGTGTTGAAGTCGCGAGAATCTGGCAGAGCTTCCTGGGGGGCTTTTCTGGAGAATCAGTTCTGTAGGGAAGAGTTCCCTGGCAAACACGCTGCTCGTTAAAAAGGTTCCAGGTGCTGCAGGCCTTTGGCGCCAACGTTGAGTGAACTGAGCAGTAACAGGACTTCTAAAATACTAACTGTTCCAATCTGGTGAGTGATGAAGGAACAGTGGGAGTAGACCCCTTCCAGGTGTGGGTTCCCTGTGGCCAGGTTGGCACTACATGTCAGTGTTAGGCTAGGATATCCAGTGAATTGGTTGGAGATGAAAAATCATTCTTTTCATAAAACTGTAGATGTTTTTCTTAAATCATTGTAGCTTCTTCTGGAAAGACTCAAGCTGGCTGCAGTTGCCTGCTCCATGTTGTCTTAAAGAGTTGGACTCAACTTGGGGTGCATGTGTACATTATGCTCTGCAATTTTCCTGCTTTCAAATGTACCTTTTGGAGATTATGTGATTTCCCCCCCTCTGTTTTGGAGACCTCTGTTACCGCTAGGTGAGTGAAATGCTTTTGAATAACTGGATTATTCACCTCCTGTCCTCACCTGGGTTCTTAGAGTGCCCCACACTGTACCTAATCATTCAGTTCCAGAAAAAGGGCCAAGTCTGCCTTTCCTCAAGGACCTAAATGACCACAGACAGTTCACTACTGGCTCGTCCTCCAGCATATTCCTCCTGGGCTCATCAGTGGGCTCTTTGCCTATTTTCCTAGAGGCTCAGGACATCTGAGTGCATAGTACTAATGCCCCTTATGTCCAAGGTGTGATGGTGTTGGTGGGTACCCAAATATTGATGAATCAATGAATGAAAGGACAATGAACCACTGACAAAATGCAAGAGTGACTGATCTGGCCTCTCCCTGTTGGGAGCCATGGCTACACAAAAGGGCACAGGGAATAGTCCAGTAGGTGTAATGCCTGTTTGCCTTAAGGTTAGAAGGAGGTTTTGTCATGCACTGTAAATGTAAAACTGGCAAGAGTCTACAGCTTAGAATCAGAAAAGACAAAAAAACAACAAAACTTACTGACAGTAAAGAAAAGGAGACTGCAGTGTTTTCATCCTTGGAATCAGATGTTGCATATAAGTAAGCTGGAAGCCTTTATGGATAGAGGCAGAGTTTATAGCTTCATTCTATATAGCAGTGCAAAGTATTTCCCCAGAGTGAACATGGTATGATGGAAAGAGCACATGGGCCCACGTCAGGTTCACCTAGGCCCTCCTGGTCACCTACTTGGTGACCTTAAGCAAATCATTCTCTAAAATTGGCTTAATACCAGAGTTTTGATGGTAGAAGTGAGAGTATGTATGAAATGCTTTATAAAATATGAATTAAATGAGTGTTTATAGGCTCAGCATGTGTGCAAAGCACAGTAGGTAATATTAGAATTAGGGGTTTGAAGAAAAGGTAGCTTTAGAATGAGGGTGAGCCGTAAGTAAGTGTCCAGTGTGTGCCAGCATGTCGCATACATGATTTCCAATTCTGTCAGCCTCTTAAGCTAGAATTACACTGATGAGGACCCTCACCCGAAGAACCCAAAGCTGCACATGGTTAGAGGCCATGGAAGTCTCATTAGAAAATGCAGGCTGAAAACAAAATGGGTTAAGGAGAAAATCATGGAGGCAGATCAGAGATGGAGCCCTGGAGGGGCTGCATTTTGTAGGCCAGCCACATAAGCCCTACCCTGCTGGGTCCCCGTGGCAGCCAGGACTGGAGGTGGCACACAGGTGCGCTGAGACATTCTCTGGGGCTCTGCGCCCAGCATACACAGAGATGGCTCCCGAAGAAGCGAGGGCGTTCCCGGGCAGCTGGCTGCATCTCCAGGCCTGGAGGCTGAGCGAGCTCCCGGGGAAGCCTGGCCACCTCGCACTTCCCTGCTGGCCCCCAGGCCAGCAGAGCTTCCTTCACCCTCCACCAGGGGTCAGCCTGTGCCTTGTCCTACGGAGCCTTGGCCCATATCCCAGGTTTGCAGTTGTGTTTTATTTTTGGCACCGCAGCCTTCCGTCATCAAGCAGCAAAGCCCAAAGGGAAAGCAGCAAGATAGCCTACTCTGGCCACAAGTGTCTGTTCGGGTCACACTTCAGTCGTCCGTTGTCCCCTTTCCCCAAGGGGCTCCTGGAACTTGGGATTCCTGTCACATTCACTGAAGGGCCTGCGAGGACACAGTGGTGAGTAGTTGGACCAGTGAGTGACAAAAGCCAGGCAGCAGGTGGGGAGAGGGAGAGACTGGGGTAGAGAAGTCAGAACCCCCCAAATTCATTAGACCCACCTCTCCCTGCTTCTGAAGGCAGATGGGCCCAGAAGAGTGGCAGTATTAACCCTCCAGTTCACTTGTCTACAGAAAGCAGGTCCCTGTGACTGTGTTGTCTGACTCTGAGTTCGGGGGAGGGATGTTATGTTCCAAAAACGCCCAGGCTACCTACTCCCGTCTGGGGACCCTTTCCAAAGGAGTCTTGGAAAAGGCATGGGGAATGCAGGTGGGGGCATGATGTTGGCCCCAAGTTAGGCCCAGAGCAAGGGGATGAGACAAGACAAACCCCCGCCCAGCCCAGGAGACGTGAGTGCCGCTGGAACTCAGCACAGCTGGTGGTGCCAGGGCATGGTGGGGCCTCAAGCTGGGACGGCATCCTGGGGTGGGTGTAGACACACCCTTTGTGCACAGAGGGCTGGGGGAAGGGAGAGACCGTTTGCTACCCGGCTTTGGGAGGTGGAGGGGCACAGATACCCAGCTGGGGAACTTAAAAGGACTTGCCATGAAACGGGCTTGTTTTTGTGGGGAACACACACCCCTGGGCTCAGCCGGGGTTGCTGCGGGCAGAGGCAGCCTGTGAGAGCTCAGGCGCCTGCTGCTGGCAGAGGAGACCGTTGTTATTCTAGTCCTGCCTCTGGTAACCAGGCACCCAGCGGTGGGGACACCAGCTTCCTGGAACAGCCGGCCTGTCCCAAGGCAGCCAGGGCTTCTGCCTGACGGGTCAGCAAATTGGCCCCTTTGACAGCCCAGGCCTTCTTGGACCCAGAAAGAGCAGTGGACATGGGACCAGATGTAGCTCTGGCCCTGCTGAGTGGCAGCTTGTGCCTGTTTTCTATCTGCCCCTCTTCCTGTCGGTACCTGATTTTCTCCATTCCTCGAGTCCTCCGTGGAGGTAGGAGTTCAGTACCTGGTGGCCTCTGTGTCCCTGAAACAAAGCCAGCCAGCTCAGCTCCTCTGGGTCTAGGCCTGAGTGTCCTGGCTCTGTACTGCCCCACGCTGTAGCAGGACCACTCAGGGCTCACTGGCCAGCTTTAGGTAGGACGGGGGGCATTCTGAGGACAGGACCACCCTGCCGGCAGGAACCTGGACCACAGGGATGCCTCCAGCTATTGACTTACATCTACTGAGCAGCCTCTGCGACACACCTGCAGTGGGCACAGTGGGTAGGGATGGTTGGAAGGTCCTACAGGTGATCACAGTCGGATGGAGGAGATGACAGCACACACTGACAAGTGGTACCAGAGGCTGGGACCAGGACTCACCCATCAAGCTCTGCACCCCTCAGAGCACCTGACATAGTACTTCCCAGAGTATGAAAGAAAGAAAAGGGAGGTTGAAAGGTGGGAAGGAAGGATGCAAGAAGGAAGGGAGGGAGGGAGATTATGAAAGTCCTGGTTAAGGACAGAACGGGTGAGTTAGCGGCTGTGGGAAGCACAGCAAGCCTGTCCCGGAAGGAGGGTGTTTTCCAGGGAGGACAGTTACAACCGGGGAGATAAGGAGAGGCAATGGGAGCGGCATATTTGAAGATGAAACATGAAGCTTCTCACCTTTTTCCACAAGTGCTGAGAGCAGGCAGAGGAAAAGCAGGACTAGCCTCGTCTCCTCAAAGAGGAAAAGAAACAGCACTTTAATATGTCCTTTGCAGAGTTTTTCAGTGGTTCTTTCTAAAATCAAGGGTGTGCTGGCCTTGTCAAAGCTAATCTTGGAGCCCGATGGCCTGATTCCTGCCTCAAGCCTCGGCTTGGGCCCGGCTGACCATCTGCTGCTCCTACAGGGGAAGCAAAAGCTTACAATGAGAACACGTAGGGAGCCACACGGTCATCTGGGGTCACGAGAACTCATAGCCAGTGGGGAGAAGCAAGCTGGGCTCTTGGGCTCTTTTCAAAGTTTTTTTGTCTGTTCACAAACATTTGCTTTGAACATTCACAAGAGGTCAGCCCTATGCCAGGAAATACAAAGATGAGGGAGAGATGGTTACAGCCCTGGAGGAGCACATCCCCTAAGTCAAGAAGGCTGATGAGTTCTTTGTGTTCCCTTCTTAGGGCCCCTGGGAGTCACCCCTAAGGAGCTGAGCATGACCCAGGACAAGGCACTGCCGGACTTCCATTCCGCACAGAGCTTCTATGAGAACTATGAGCCCAAGGAGATCCTGGGCAGGTAAGGCCCAGACCTTCCCCATGAAGTGCTGTCCCAGGCTCCAGCCAGCTCTGTGGGCTGGAGAAGTCTCTGCTTGACCCTGAGCACTGACCCTGTTTCCATCCACAAAGCACTGTCCACCTGGAGGAAGCCTCATTTTGGAGTCCTGCCTTCCTGAACCAGGACGGAGGAGGCGGGTGCAAGAGCGCCCAGATCAGAGACCACTCCTAGCAAAGAGCTCCCCCAGTGCTGCTGACAACATATCCCAATCCAGCTTTGGGCCAGGGCTGGGGATCAGGAGTCTGAGGGAAGTTTATGGCCCTAAGAGGGTATGGCCTCTTCCTACGGGCTGGGGAAGAACACTGGGCTAGGAGTCAGGAGGCCTGAGAGCAGGCTTCTTCCTCATCAGCTCCAGGCAAATCGCCCTCTCTGTGCCGCCCTCACATCCCACCATCCCTGAAAGCTCGCAGGAAGTTGGGGGACAAGGCAGGACATGTCTCCTGTAGCCTGAACCCAGGCCTCCCCCTGGGGTGAGGGGCCCCCAGGACTATCTGTGCTCTGCACCCCTAGGGGAGTTAGCAGTGTCGTCAGGCGCTGCATCCACAAGCCCACGTGCCAGGAGTACGCGGTGAAGATCATCGACATTACCGGTGGGGGCAGCTTCAGCGCCGAGGAGGTGCGGGAGCTGCGGGAGGCCACGCTGAAGGAGGTGGACATCCTGCGCAAGGTCTCAGGACACCCCAACATCAGTGAGTGATGGCCCCCAAGCCGTGGAGGGGTGCTGTGCCACAATTCTGCTCTGATAGCCCTAGTCGGGGAGACTGGCCCCACCGTGCAGCTAGCCAGAACCATCCAGAGGGTCTCCCGCACCCCGAGGCCCAGCCAGCCCAGTGCCCTGAGGCTTGAGGTTCCCAGCTCCACTCTCACTGCTCCTGGGATTCAACTCTGTCCAAGCCTCCTCCTCCAGCCAGACAGAAGGGGTTGCAGGCAGGGCTGGGGCTGGGTGGGGGGTGGGAACGTGAAGCCCCTGGGCTGCCCCCTCCCCTGGAGGGCCTCCTTTCAACATCACCCTGATATCCCCTCCAGCTTCTGAGCCAGCCCCCAGCAGCTTTAATCCCCTTGCCCTTGAGCCTCCACTGCCCCTGCCCGGGCTCCTCTGCTGCCTGAGACGAGCTAGCCATTTCCATTTCAGTACAGCTGAAGGACACTTATGAGACCAACACTTTCTTCTTCTTGGTGTTTGATCTGTAAGTACCCGGCCCTGGAGCCAGCCAGCCA